GCTGAAACTGCAGCAGCGCCACTTCACCCTCTTGCGTTGCTCAGGAGAGAAGGTTTGCAGGCGGCGGCGTCGCCTCTTTCTGGAGCCCGTGGCATCTTGCAGGACTTGGTGGTGAGAGGCAGCGATGGGCGAGATAAATCCCCGAGGGTTGTGGCTTCGGGACTGGAGCGAGAAGAGAAATCAATCAGCTCCCTGCGCCCCAGACGCAGGCAAACTGCAGCGGAGACTTCGCCTCTCCTCTTTAGACTTTGCTTATGGGCATGGGACCCCCTGCGGGAGACGCCGAACCCGGTTTCTTTCCCACGGATCCCAGAGCCCTTTGCAGCCCGACCATGAGGGGGCTAATCCTCTCTCAAATTGCCTTTTCCCCCGTTGCTCCCTCTCCGCCTCTCTCTCTCTCTCTCTCTCTCTCTCTCTCTTTTCCCCAGCCCTGTGCCCATTCGCAGCCTCGCCGTGTCATTAGGGCTGTCAAACACTGCAACGAAAGTCCAGGCAAATGAAAGCGGTGGGGTGGAGGAGGACAGAGCCCCCAGGACACATTTCTTTCCCTTGATGGGGTGCTGAGGGGAAAACCAAGCCCCCTTCACCATCCTCTTCCTGTGCGGGAGGCCTTCCCCAATGGCGTTCCCCAGGGATGTTGAAATGGCACCCGTTAGAAGAAATCAGATCAAGGAAGGCCACACTATGAAACTGAGACTCAGTGTGGTAGAACTGCCTCCACAATGAACTGGTGGATGCTGGACAGAAAAGCAGGCAGTGGGGGGTGGGGGGCAGCTCCTCATGGATAAAGACCACACAAGGCTTGGTATAGCATTGGATGTGTGTGCTTGGGCAAGGATTTCAGGAAGGGGAGAAATGGATTTGCAAGGGGGAAAGGACCCCCTTGACCTTGTAAAAGTCAGCAGCTCTGTCAAAGGCAAATAACCCCCCCCCCATTTTTGTCTCCACCTCCTCTGGAAGAGGCTGCTGGTTGCCTATTTTATACCCTTGGGCCAAATAATTTCTCTCTAAGAAGGAAAGGGTAGTGAAAGGTTAAGGGGAAAGGAAGGAAGGAAGGAAGGAAGGAAGGAAGGA